AACAATCTGAAGATTAACAAAGCTTATTGACCATTATAGTTTGCGTCTAGATGTTCTAGATTGTGTCTAGATCCCCCCTCCAAGCCTCATTTAGTTGTAAGTGAGGCTTTTTCAGAGGTAGCTAAATCTATAGTGTGTGATGCTGAGATTAAGGGTGTGTGATTACCAGTCCACTGATCAGTTTGGCACTGCTCTAATCCCAGTAGCCTAGATAGAGTATAAAGTGGGGAGAAAGAAGCTGCTAAGGTCTCTTGCCTGCTTTGCTGCCTTCTGTCAGCCATGAACTGTTTCTCCTCTACCACACCGCCCTGCCTCGGAGCCAACTGATTATGCACTGAAACCTTCGAAAACTATGACCTAAATAAACTTTCGTTATTTTGTCTTAACAACAAGAGAAAAGTAATTAAGATACTGGCTATATTATTAAAGATATAGGGAGTTGGGATTACAGGAATGCAAGACAAAAAAATTTGAAAATTTAACCTATCCAAAATCAAAAGAGAAGAGTGAGATAAGGATCCTGTTAGAGAGAAGGATATTTATAGAATTAGGTAAATGTTAGCAGTTAAAATGAATAAAAAAATAAAGGATAAGGCTGGAGAGATGGCTCAGTGGTCTAAAGCACCTACTTAGAACAAGCTTGGCAAAAGCATCAGGGACCGCGGTTCGATCCCCCAGCACCACATGCCAGCCAGCCCTGCCCCCTGGTGGGCTGAGCTGGCCTCTCTCTCTCTCTCTCTCTCTCTCTCTCTCTCTCTCAAATAAATAAATAAAATTAAAAAAAAATAAAGGATAAAAACGAAAGGGGGAAAGTGAGAATAAAAATAAGCAAAATAACATGGAGAATAAAAACAAACAAAAATAAATGGAATTAAAAGGGAAAAGAGGGGGGAAAGAAATAAAATAAAAATTTTTAAATGTAAAAGAATGAAGGAAAATCCTCCATACCCTAGTAAACCAGTAAAGAAGAAAGAGGAAAGAAAGGCGGGGGGGGGGGGCAGAGAAAAAAGAAAATAAAAGAAGTACAGGGTATTTTTCTTCTCTTTGTTTTTGAACAAGTAGTTTCCTTCCAGGATCCACAGTTTTGAAGTCTAGCAACTCTTGGTTTCTCTGCCCAGCCTGAAGGGCTGGGGTTGCTGAGGTGCCCTGGGCCCCTCTCCAGAGGCCCCACTCTTTGCCCAGGCCATGGCAGTGTCTAAGCTGAGATATGTGCCTGCTCATCCCAGCAGATGAGAACAGCAGTCAGAGCCTTAGTCTGTGCTGGACACAGGCAGCAGAGTGAGGGCTTGAGTACGACATTTAATACCTGCACTTTCAAACCCAGTGCAACTCAGGCCATGCTTGGCGTCTGGCCATAGGAATGCGGATCCCGTGGCCTTCCTGGCCTGAACTCAAATCCCTCAGGGGACTCTTTGCAGCCTGTTCCCTGTCTGTGGCTGCTTCCTGTGGCTGCCTTACCCAGTCACTGTGGGAGGGTAGCCCTGGGAACCATGAAGTGAAGCTGTCCTGTAGCTGTTCTGAGTCCCAGACTCAAACACTCAGCCCTTTCTGGAATGGCACCCAATCCCACTCTCACTCCAAGTGTATGATGGGCACCTGCACCTGCACCCACATCTGCTTTTGCACCTGCACCTGCACCTGCACCCGCACCTGCACCAGGATCCCTATCATTGGTCGCCGTGGAGGGACCTCCATTAGAGCAAAACCTTGTGCTGCCTCTGCAGATGACAGCAACTGCTGGCCCAGTTCACTGCTGCTGTTTCCTGGAGCACCCAGTGCATAGCTTGCTTCAGGAAAAGCGGGCGGGGGAGAGAGTCCAGAGTGCTCTGTTCACTTCTCACACTGTGGCCAGCCTGTTCAACTTCTCTGAACAGTAGTTTTTAATTTTGCTGTCATTTTCTTCCTGATTCTGGGTATCTGCTTCTATCTGTCTCTTTTTCTTTTCCAAGTTGTTATTTTCCAATGTCTGGGTTCCAAATCTCAGAGAGGCTGAATTGTTATGGCTCATGACTCCACCTTTTCAAAGAGCCTTCTGAAAATTTCACTAGAGTTTTAATAATACTAATAATGTCACATGAAGGCACACATTTGGGAACAGCACATGCTAACTGTGTATACAGACCACTTGCCATGGCCTCTGGCTTCATCCTGGGGCTTACTGATGTGGCTTGCAGGTGATGTGACTTTGACTACCAGTGTAAGAGGTGCCACCTGGGCTGTTCTTTCATCATCTTATCTTGGTGCCGCTTTGGCATTTCGATTCCAGACTGTCTCTGTTCTGCCTTGTCTCTGTCTCTGTCTCTCTCTGTCTCCCTCCCTCCCCTCCTCTCTCCCCTCCCTTCTTTCCCTCTTTCTCTCCTTCCTTCTTTTTTTCTCTCCCTCTCTTTCCTCTTTATAATTTACATACAGTGAAACCCCAGATTAAAAGCTTAGGACATCTTCATCTTTCCCCCAGTTCTTCCGTGTCTCTTCCCAGTCTCCTCTCTCCTCACCCTCCTACTAGGCAGTCACTTTTCCAATTTCTATTACTGTGGATTATTTCCTCTATTCATGAACTTGATGTGATATAACACATTCTTGCACTTATTGTGCTCAGTGTGGAGGTTTGGAACTTCATGTTGTTCTGCATTTGTAGCTTTTTCATTTTTATTGGCAGAAGTATTGCATCATTTGAATACCATTCCATATTCACTTTGTTGCATTAAAAAAAATTAGAATATCTTAGATTTTTAAAAACTATGCAAATGGTATAGAGGTTCTGTTTTCTCCACACTGTTTACCATCTTATTAACAGCTTACTTTATTGTAGTTCCTCCATGAATGAATGTACCAGTGTTGGTACATAATTGTCAATGACAGGCCAGACTTTGAGGGTTTTCCTAGTTGTTACCTGTTGTTCTTCTTCTGTCCATGAACCCATCCAGGACCTCACATTGCATTTAATCATCATGTCTCCACAAGGCTCCCCTTGGCTGTGCTATTTTCTTAAGACTTCTTTTTTCGGGGGAGGCATGGGATTTGAACCCAGGGACTTCATAATAAGTTATATCACCAGTTTTTTTTTTTTCTTTTTCTTAAAACTATCTCATTAAATTGCTTAGTTCCTGGGCTGGAGTTCCTCCCAGAGTACTGGATTTGCTTTTTTTTTTTTTTAGGCTTGTGATTTTAAGGAGTGCTCATCAGATATTTTGTAGATTTATCCTCAGTCGGGATTGTCTTATTTTGTCTCTTGGTTAGACTGAAGGTACCAGGAGCTTGTGGAAGAAGACCACAGGGGTAAAGTGCTGTTTCTGTCACATCTTATTAAAGGCACAGGCTGCTGCTCTGACATCACCCATGTCTTTTGTCACCTGGTTATAGTCATATTTGTCAATTTTTTCCACTTGCTATTTCTCCTCACTTTGCATACTGTATTCCTTGGAAGAAAGTCCTTTCTACACCCTGCAATTATGCAGTAGGGAATTGAGGGTGAAGTAGCTCCATAAATTATTTTGAAGAACTCCTGCAAAGATTTATGTTTATCTTTAAAGGCACTTGGAGTTTTGTGAGGTGATTGTACCATTTTTCACTCACAGTGGCAAAGTCTGAGAGTCCAAGTGCTCCTCATTCTTGTCAACACTTGGTGTTTTCAACTTTTAAGTTTAGCCATTCTAGTTGGTAAAGGTAAAGTGATGTTTCATTATGGTTTTAATTTGCATTCATGATGATTAGTAATATTGAGCACATTATTTAATGCCTGTTGACTATTTCTGCTTGTTTTTTGGGGGGAGGGAGTGGCTTAAAATATCGGTCCAAGTCTTTTGCCCATATTTTAAAATTGGGTTTTTATTATCGAGGTCAGGTGTTGGGCGTGTATCTTGGATATCCTTGGAACCTGTTATTTGTTCAGTATATGACTTGGAATCACCATGATAGCATACATGTTCTGCGTTAGAGTTTGTATGTGCCTCAGTCAGCCCTGACGTATTAGCCACTTGAAGGGATGCTTAGTTCTAACGCTGATAATTATTGGCTCTCATCTTTATACTTGCAAAGAAGTTTGGTTTTCACAATCATAATTCATAAACCAAAAGACAAGTGTAGGCCCTAATTCACATCAAGTAAAGACCAATTTCTTGGTTGACTTCTGTCAGTTCTTTCTTTCTTTTTTTTTTTTTTTTTTGGTATGTATTTTAGTATAGGGTCTACAGGGTCTCACTACACAAATCAGACTTGTAGTGATCCTCTGTGTGCAGCCTCCCAAGTGCTGGGATTACAGGCGCGAGTGACTGCACCTAGTCTCAATCTCTGTCTTATCGCACCTTGGGGGTAGAGGCAGCATGGCAAGCCCGGGGATCGAACCCCAGTCCCTGCATCTGCCTAAGCAGGCACTTTAATCTGCTGAGCTATCTGGCCAGCCCTCTCAGTTCTTGATTATTTGAAATGATATTATTAATATTACTTGTACTTGTGGGAAAAAGTACACAGAAGATTTTTACACACTTATTTAGCACCTAAAATGTTTTGAGTGGAAAAAACCCACCTGTATTATTGGTTGTGCACTGTGATTTCTGACTGACTTTCTTGATTTTTCCCATGTTTCCCTTTTGTACTGGGATTCTCTATTTGGCTATTTACCATCATTGACCCAGTAGAATTTGGGAAGCTCAGATGGACTCAAGGAAGAAAGAGGCTGAGCTCAGTGTAATACATGGCTAAAAGAGTAAAAGAAAAAAAAAGATAAAAGAGGAAGAGATATAAAAAGGGATTTAAGATTATTGAGAAATGTCAGCAGAATTCCTAGGCATGATATAAAAAATTTGTGAAAACACGGTTTACCTTTTTAAAAACTATGGTGTGCGTAGTTTTCCAAACTACTCTCTTTGGAACATAGTGTCAGTTTGTGTGTTTTGAAATTCGAGAAAGCCATCTCTGTATTTAGCTTGGCCTTTGTCTAACCGCCCATCCTGTATTTAGCTTGGCCTTTGTCTAACCGCCCGTCCTCTTTCCATTTGTTTCAGGTAAACCTCTTCGTGCTGCTCTCTGTGGTTTGCGTCCTCCTGAATCTCGCGGGGTTCATCCTCGGCTGCCAGGGGGCGCAGTTTGTATCCAGCGTGCCCAGGTGTGACCTGGTAAGTGGTCCTCCGCAGCCCTGTACCCTGGCAGGCCCCGTCCTGTCCACTTCCTTGCAGTACCCCCGTGTACCATGCAGCACTCCGCAACTGTCCCGAAGTGCAGCCGCGTGTTGCCAAAAGGAAGCAGAAAAACAAAGCCCACCTGCGGATTATTTTACTGGATTATCGGTTATCTTTGTGAAAGCACCAGTCATCCGGCGTCATCCCAGAGCCGCGGAAGAGTGGCGCAGTGGATCGCAAGTCTGTGTCCGCCTTCATCAAAAGAGGGACGATGGAGGTCACCCAAATGCGGGTCTCCAGTCCTTTATCTCAAAGCCCTGGAGGCCAGCAGCGTGTAAGCGTTTAGCGGTTTTCCAAGCTTGGGATATCAACATGGTGTGCACACCGTCTCTTACGTAGCCTGCCAGTGACATCTGGGACCGGAGGCTGTCATCTTCTGGTTTCAGAGCTTTTTTAATTTTAAAAGTATAGATAAAATGTTGGGGAGTTGTAGCAGTTCTGACTTGCAAAATATTCTAGTTGTAGTAAAATACACATAGTATTGCTATTGACCACCTTAACCATTTTAAATGTACAGTTCAGTAGTATTATGTGCATTGTTGTAAAAATCTCCAGATCTCCTTTCTATCTGCCAAACTGAAATTCTGTTCGCATTAACCAACAACGCCCACACGTCCTCGCCCTCCACCTCCCAGTCCCAGGAAACTACCCTTTTACTTTGCATTTCCTGAGTTTGAATACTCTAAATACCTCATGTCAGTGGGGTGATGCAGTATTTTGTAAGTGACTTATATCATTTAGTGTAGTACAGGTTTCTCCACGTAGTAATATTGCCAGAGCTCCCTTTTTAAGAATGAATAATACTCCATTGTCTGTAAGTATGACGCATTGTGTTTACCCAGTCATCACCAGAGGGCCCTGGATGCTTTCCACTTTTGTCTATTGTGCATAACACTGCTGTGACCGTGGGTGTACAAACATCTCTCCTAGGCCCTGCTCTCAATTCTTTTGGGTACCTCACCCAGAAATGAGGTGCTGATCACCTCTGAACTTTTTAAAGGACTTTTCAGTGACCATAACCTCCATGTAGCACAAAACAAAAGGAACAGACTGTAGAAGTTGTGGTACATCACATCTGTGTGGAACCTGGCTCTGTACACTCTAGTCCCGAGGAAACCAGCAGTGGGACCCAAGCTGAGAAGCCATAGCATTCTAGGAAGGCTGCAAACAGGCTCTTGCAGTGACACCCATGAAATCCCCAACCACTCAGGGACCCACTGAAATCTTGTTGTTTTTTTCATATAATTCATTATGGAACAGTAAAATTTTGTCATTCTATGGCTTAACAACCCCAAATATCAGGGACTCTCATAACTGTTCTAGTCTTTAAGACCCTGCATGAACCGCCCTCAGCCTTCCCTTGAAGCAGAACTCACGCTCCTGTCATTGAGACAAACCCACAAGTTATTTTCTGGGATTCTGCCCCCACCTGCCCCCACCTACCCCAGGGGTATCACTATGTTGCCCAGGCTGGTCTTCAGCTTCTGGACTCTAGTGATCCTCCTGCCTCAGCCTCCCCAGTGCTAGGACTCTAGGTATGTGCCGCTGTGCCCAGCTTGGCCTTAACTCATTTCTAACAACGTGGTTTCTCCTCCAACCTAAGAATTCTCTTCGCTTCACTTTCCCATTTGTCTAAATATTAGCAGTCTTTGAAAGCCCTCTTCAAACTAGGCTTGGTGGTACACATCTGTAATCCCAGCACTCTGGGAGGCTGAGGAAGGAGGACTCTGAGTTCATTTCTAGCCTGGGCAGCTTAGCAACTTAGCAAGACCCTGTCTCAAAATTAAAAAAAAAAAAAAGATATGTATCTTTTTTTTTTTTAAGGGGCCAGGAGTATAGTTAAGGCCCAGGGTTCAGTCCCTAGTAATGGGAAAAAAAGAAAGTGCCAATCACAGACCACTTCCCTCAGGAAACAGTCACTGATCCCCAGAAAAGGTAATATTCTACCTTTGTACCCATTTCTTTTGGGGGCCAAAGATAATCATAAAGATACTTTCCCAGGCAGGAGCCAGCTGGATGGCATCTGGTTCCCTCTTACCTTAAGAGTTTCTAGTAACACCCCCCCCCCCACTACTTTGCAGACAGGCAGACCCCAGAGAAAACTTGTGGACAAAGTTTGGTTTTCCAGTTACTAAGTATGCAATTGAATGCAAGAGGTTCTCATTTTAGTGAGTGGAAAGCCAAAAGTACAGCCAGGAGACCAAGGCATGGAGAAGGATTTATTATTACCTGCAGCAAGCGAGTAGAGTGCTGAGGTTACTTCCAAACCAGTGCCCTTCCTGAAGTATTGGAGCATGGAGTTTTCATCCAGAAAGCTTGTACATACGCATAGAGGGAAGCTCTCTAGCGAGGGGCTCATCTCCTGAATATGTGCAGCTTTAGGTGTGTATTTCAGAGCATGCTTAATTTAAGGTTGTAGTTTGGAAAGAGGTGACACGTCGCTCGGCATTCTCCATTCAAGGTCCTATAGCACATGCTTGAAAGATTAAGATGGTAGATACGATAATCCTGGGCATGCTCAGTTCACTGTTGAAATGAGTTGAGTTGTTCGAGGCGCCTAAAACACAGAATTCAAGTGTTTTGGTAACTTCGGCTTCTTCTTGGCAAGTTCCCCTAAAAGTCTTAGATAAAACAAAAAAGAAAAGTGAATTCTCAATGTGCACTAGTGTGTGAGTTTGCCTCAAAAGGTCTGTCTAGTCTTGAGGTGGGAGAGAATGGATTTGTACGGAAGGGCATGCTCTGGAAGATGGCGCCCAGCATTCCCCCGGGGGAGTGCAGGACTCCGGCAAGGGTGTATGCCAAGGAGAGAAAGAAGAACGGGGTCCTGCTGAAAGAGGGAGTTTGGCTCCGATGGGAGGAGAGCAGAGTGGAGGCTGCCACGCCAGCTCCGTCCGTGCTGACTTGTTACAACTATACTGCAGTGTTGTTTGCGTTAACATAGGAGCTCTCAGCTGGTGACTCAGAGGAGGAAGCCCTTC